GCTTTACAAACCTTAAGACTTAAAAATAAAAAAGATTTTGTGTATGAAAGCACTGTAGTGTTTACTGATAATCTGCCAAATTTTGCTAACATTTGCTTACTAATTTAAGAGTTATAGCATGAAAACTATAACAAGCACAAAATGGTTACGAGGTCAGACTGAGCACGTGCTGAAAGAGTTAAAGCTCAGCTGGTTACAGAAGCCAGCTAGCAACGTGGAAACATTCACTGTTTATTGTATAAGTAATAGGGCTGTTGTCAATGCTGCTGCATCTCAAGCTTTCAGGATTTAATGGGCTCTTTGACCAAGTCAAAAGTTTCAGTTTTATTTCAATTAAACAATTCAGTATATTTAATATAAAATGTTAATATATTATTGTTTAATTTATTGAATAACTTAAGAACAACAAGAAAGCATTTATTTTATTCAGGTTCCATACAGTATTTGAAAAACTAATTCTAAATTTTAAATCTTACATGTTTCATGTGTAAAATACATATTTTGTTTTATGTTTTGCATGACTTGCATGGTATATATGTATTATTGTAGACATGAGTCATTTATGTCATACATCTGGCAAGTAACAGCATGTTTGAGAACCATTATAAAAGAATGCATATAAGATTTCTGTTGCGGAGAAAGTGTTATAAATATAGCCTTAATTAAAACACTGTAGAAACTAACATATTTGTAGGTGATCTAGGAACTGAACTTTCAAAATAGCACCATATCATACTAGATTACAATATTTTAGGTAGATATCAATTTATAGTTAGAGCTTATGTTTTAGGGACTAAACTTAATGATGACTGATAGAAATATTAATGATTAATGTTTCTTAAGTTAGTTCATGTATAGTTCACTAATCATTCATTATACGTTGAATTTTTTTGTATCGTTTTTAATTTAGTTACTTCAACAAAGTAGTTACCTGTTTTAATATGGAGAATATTTTCTGAGTCAGACATAAATGAAAATATTTTTACCCAGATTTGGTTCTTTGGAGCTATTTTATGAATATAACCTTAATGAATCCTTTGTTAAACTTGAACATGTGTTTATTAGATTAAAGGATGCATAAGCAAAGAAAAATAAAGATTGTTTATTTTCATCTAGGGGAATGAAGCTGCTAATGTAACTGGACCTGAAGGTGCACCAGTGGAAGGAAGCAAGTATGCTCCTGATAGGAGGAGATGGTTCTATGGGCGGTTTCTTAGACGACGTGGATTTGGAAGGAGGCCTCCTAGGGTAGTGCATTACTCTTTTGTAAAATAAAATTTTTGAATATGTGTAAAGAAATTGTTATTGGGCATTGCTTAGCAGTTTTCCCATGGTTTTTATTAACCTAGAAATAATGTACACAACTATAGAATCTTTTAATAAATACTCTATTTTAGTATCTTCACTAAATTTACTGTTATTGAAAGCTAACTTTATAGTGGACGTATATAAAATATATGTTTAATATTTGTTCGTGTGTGTTGACAATGCACATGTATATTGTAAATACAGAAAGGTAGAAAGGTAAAGGTTACATGTTTTAGATTTATTATTGCTATTGTTTCAATTGAAAACACAACAATGGTGTACTGAAACTTGCCAACATTTGCTGTAGATGATGCCAACCATTACAGTAGTTAACATGTTGAGGAAAAAAATTAGATACTATATCATATAATTGATTGTATTATTAAAAACCATTAATAATCTGTTGTATATTTTCTTAATATTTGACAAAGTATGTCCTTTATTAAAAATAAAAATTGTAAATAGGTGATTTTTTTTTAATCAGCACTATAAAACAATAGTGAAATTAATATAAATCAAAAAACAAAGACTCAGAAATCTAAATTAATTTTTTCCATTATCAGTCATAGTTATCATTAAAACTCATAACAGATAATGTCTGTAGCTATAGCAACTAAACGCATTGCGGATATTCCATCTATCACACACAATCCAGATGCCAATGTCAAAGCAGCCAGCAACTAAGGAAAATCAGTTAAGGATTAGCAGTTAAGTGCTTGAACCCACAACACCAACTCCTACTGCATTTCACTGTCTGTGGCCAGTTGTGGGAAGGCAGTTACCCTTAATATTCAGATACAGCTTCAAAGTAAAATTAAACCATCCTAAATTTCTAGTGTAAAAAATCTCAAGCTCCACCCTTTTTATTTTACCAAATGATCTACAGTTTTGTGCAGGGCAGATTGGAAGCCTAAAACAGCCTGGGCAAATACTCGAAAATCAATGTACAGTAGGTTGGTCAGTATAACCAGATTATCATCCCACTGGCCCAGGCATCACCAGCCCACCGGGATTTTACCCGGCGGCCCAATCTGCCCCTGGTTTTGTTACTTTAAGAATGTACAGATTTATTTTCTCAATGAACAAATATATTCTAGAGTCGTTCTACTGAGGATCAAGAACAGCAAAATGAAGGTAAAGAAGGCTATGAACCCCAATACAGGAGACGAAGGCAGCGTTATTATCCACGATACTTTCGTCGACCTCGTGGACCTCCACATGGAAACCGACAGGAACAGCTTAATGAGGCAAGTTTCTTTTTATGGGAAAATTTACATACAAAAATTTGTTACAAGTGGACTATAGTCATGACAGTCATATGTATTTTTAGAATAAAGTACTCCTTTAACCCTATCGTGATGGGCATCCTATACTGCGCATGTCCCAAGGTTTTAGTGACTTGCATTTAAAAGTTTATTAATCTACTTTTTGTTTGTTATTTCAATTAGTATAGCATACAATCTTAGCTAATAATCCATATTTTAATGCTATATAAGTTTTAACTTCTTAATTCTACAAGGTAATATTTAAAAAAAAACTGAATTTCCAATAGTGTGACCCATGTGACAGATTTTATCCACCACCCCTCAAAAAAGTACAAAATCAAACGTAAATTACTCTATAAAATCGTTATTGCTCAGACAAACCATAATTTTTATAGCCTTCAATTTTTTTTTGGTTACAGAGCTATCAAATAGAAAATCAAACTCCTCCTGCCGCATCCAC